TATGAGGTAAACCCAGATTAGATCAATAGGAGTCATTCAGTCACAGTGGAATAATTTGCTTTTTGAGGGTTTTGAACTGTGTCTAAATACTCTCCTGAGATTTTTGTCTTTCAGCTGTGTTATTAACAACTATTTTCTTTTTCTGCTAAAAACTGCTCTTTTTTAAGGTATTTCTTTTGTCCTTTCCTTTAAACCATTGCCTTACATTTTTCACAACGTACTTTCTTGCTGAAAATGGAGATTTCATGATTACAGATGAAGACAAAGCAGCAGGAATGCAGCAACTGAGAAACAAAGATATTACTGCTATACAACTGATTTTAGGGAAATAGCAGAAGAGTAAAAATAGGCAGTTACCTGGATTGACGTTTATCTCACATTCTATTTATTTTCAACAGATCTTTCAAACAACAGCAAAATTATTAATGTTCATCCACTTCTTGCTGAAAAGTATATTAAATATTTTTTCATTTTTAGTAGGGAAATTCCAAAGCTATACCAAATATTTCAATCCACTTATGGTCATTATCAAAATTGATAAGAAAATCTGCATTGGAAGAATTTTATTCAAAGTTATTTTATAGAATATCAAGAACAAAATTCCAAAGTTTAATAGAGTGATACAGCAGCATAAGTCTTACACATAAGCAGTTTATACATGCTCATATAAACCTCTCCTAAATACACAGCTCCAATTATAAACCATACTGTGTCCCAATCTAATGGCTGTGTAATCCACAGATTGTGCATTTGTGCCTATGCTGATGAGAATTTATAATATGCTGTTCTGGGGACAAGGGGAATGCTAACAAAGTCTTCCTTTGAAAGCTGTTCACTTTGCTGCATAACACGGGTTTTAAGTGACCAGACATAAAAGCTAACCAGGAGCCCATTCCCATCCAATGCATCCAAGCCTCTCTGTGAGAGAAAGCCTGGATACAAGCAGCACAAACCCACCAACTCCTTTTTTGCCATTTTTAAATCAGGAAGTTTCCCAGCCTGCAGCCCAGCTTCCCTTGCCTCAAGGAGAGCAGTCCAAATTTCTCCTTTGCAGACACCCTGACTATCTCTCTGTTTCTTCCTTCTGTTTTTGGAGCCTCTTTACATGTCCATCATCACTCAGAAGCGAATGTGATGTTGCCCAAAGCTAATTATCCAGAAATTTCCACACCATCAGCTTAATATAACACTGACAACTGGCAAAGGAGCAGAAAAACAGAAATGACAGATACGTAAATATATAATCAGAAAGATTTTAAGCAAATCAGGTTGGGTAAGTATAAAAATGGTAAGCAGAACATTTTGTATTTACTCAAGGAATACCTGTCAATAGGACAAAATGCAGGAGTAACTTGATTTATTTTTTTCTGTGAGTTTTTTGTCTTAGAATTCTCAGGAAGACACAAAGCATTTCTGCAAATATTTGGGTTCTGGTAGCCCCTCTATTCCCACACGTGATATTCTGCGCTCATTTGATGGATTTTGGCACCTTTCCTGCATGTGATTTTGTGTATATCTATAGTCAGCATGTGGAATAGGGTAAGAGTTTTTTTAATAAATTCAGAGATGTAGTATTTAGTTTACATTAAAAGGGGTTTTTTGGGATGTAGTGGGGTAATAATAGGGGCAGGTCCTGTAAGACACAAAGGGCTGCCCCTGTAGAGGCCAATGGCAGTTTGAAATGGCTCCAAAATGGATGTGCACTGGACACTGTGATAATGTATTTGAGAGAGGGTAAGGACATGCTGCACAGCATCTTTAAGGAAGGAATGAGAGAATATATGAACAAAAAAAACCCTGCAGACACCAAAGTTAAAGTAGGAGGAGGCAGTGGAAGGGCTCCTGGTGCTGGAGTAGGGATTCCCTTGCAGTCCAGTGGAGAAGACCCCAGTCATTCAGGCTATCTCCCTGCAACCCATGGAGGTTCCAAACCGATTAGAGCTGGGAGGTATTGGATTAGGGGAAAAAAGCTCTATTTATTTATTTTATGTTATTTTTATCTTGGGGTTTGTTTGTGGTTTGTTGTTTGGTTTTTTTGGGGGGTGGTTTTTTTTTTTTTTCCCCTTTGGATTACAGCTCTGTGAATAACTTCATTTTTCTTTCTTAAAGAGAAAAAAAAAAGCCCAGAGCTAGACCCTCATGCAATCATGTGGGCATCTGTGTAACAGAGGTCAGCTATCCCTCAGTGTACCCTTGTCTAAGGCCAAAACTTCACTGTTTCTGGTGTGTCACTTTCCTGACCAAAAGGACAGAAACACTGAGCAGCAGCAGCAGATACCACAAGGGCCTGTCCAGAGACAGGAGCAGGAGTTGTTAATGGTAGCAATTTTCAGCTAAGGTATTATAATTTTTGGGGAAAAGTATATGAGCTTTCAGTGGTTTTCCACCAGTAACTCAACTTTTTCTATGGAAAGGAGAAAACATTTCTTGTGTCCTTCTAAAGTGAAGGTTTACTGTTATGGAGTTATTGCAGAATTTTAAAGTGAATACCCAGGAACTTTTCCCTGTGATTAGCTGAGAATAAGGATAAAAAGGAATTGTCTTGGGAGTACTTCAAATATAAGCTGTCATCACCACAATGATGAGAGCTAATTTCCCATTTCTGAAGGTTGTATAAGTGTTGTCACTGTGCATTTATTTTGCTTTATTTTTGGAATGGGGTGTCCTAACTTATCCTTTTGGGACTGAGGCATTAAATCCCCTAGTTTTGGTTAGGTTATTACAGACAGCTAAAAGAAAGAGTAAAGAAATGACTTTTGATAGCAGAGAATATCTTTAGGGATTCTTTCATATCATATTTGTAGGCTGCTAATACAATGCTAATTGCTTAAATTCATACCTGAAGGCTTTATAAACGTCACCATTTTCATGGTTATTGGGCAATAATGATCTGATCCACAGCACTCCTTAGTCAAAAAAAAAACCCCAAAACAACAAAATCAGCTTATTACCTTTGGGAGGTTGAGATGTGGACTGTAAACTAAATGCGAGGAGAGAGCTGCAAGTATCTGAGCTGGGTTACATAGTTTTCATTAGACATATAACTCACAGTTTTTGTTTCCATTCTGTTAGCAGACTGTAGTGTAAATAACCATGATAACAAATATGAATTTCAGATTGTGGCTAGTCTAATATGTGGTTAAAACACTATTTGTGCTACTATTCCTGCCACTTTTCATTTCCTCAAACACCAGGAAGAAACAGAAGAAAGGCAGGAATACTTGTCTTGTAGATTTGTTTGCAAGTTTTAATTTTAATGAATGAGGCATCCTTCTGCAGTGCTGTGTTTGCTAACAGTGTTTTCTTATCAAGCCATACTGGTTGAATTGTTAGCAATGGGCATGGCAAGGCCCTAAGGATAAGGAAATTGATGACAGTTAGTGCCAGCAATGCTACTAGTGAGGAAAATATACTGAAAAATTCAACAAGGAGGAAAAAAGAGTGCAAGCTTAAGAACATAATCCAAAACTAAGGATAATTTTTAAAGTCTGTGTTGAAAAAAAGAGTAGTCAGCAAGTATCTGTGGGAAGGTGTGCTTAAAATTTAATCAGTTATGGAAAATTTCCATATGCATGCCAGGTCATCTTGGGAATATGTTATCTTAAATAGGCATAAAACACATGCTGTATCAAAAAGCCTTCTTTACCACGGAGTGTGTTGTAATCATAGGGGTGAATTATCTTTGGTGAAGAAACTGACATAATTTAGCAATATTTTGAAGTATTAGTGCATAATAAAATTGTTGGGAAACACTGCCATAAATTTACAGGCCTTGAGATGTACCACGTGTCTGGAAAATCTCATTTCAGCAAGGATTCCACACAGGGTAAGGAGGTAAAAGAAATCACACTTTTGTCTTTTTGGGGTTTTTTTTGTCTTAGATTATTTCTTTGATGTGATGCTATGATGCTGTAGTCCAATGTGATGGCATCCTATGTCCTGTAGCTGGGAGAATGAGGTACAGCTGTGTTAGCAGGTGTCTTTGCTGTGGGACAGGAAAATGGAATTTTTGGAAAGTTCTGTTTACTGGGACTTCCAAAGCTGCTGACATGAAAATCTAAGCTTAAATATGTTTTACAGTACATCTGAAAAAGGTATTGGCTCTGCTCTTCTTTTCAGAGAATTGCATGATGTTCTCAGGAGGATTAATGCTCAGAGACAAAGCATTGTCCTTAATTTCCATTGTGACACCTTGCATCACTCAAAATTTAAGATCATGCTTGTTTTCTTGCATTAATAGACATGGTCTAAGAACGTTTAAATGCTGGCCAAAAAAAAGCAGGCAATAATACAATAATACAGAGTATCATTGGTTCTCAGAAATCCTGTGACATTTTTTATGTGAATATACTTGACATTTCATAAATATTTCTTCAAATGCTATGCAAAATCCCAGGAATATTTGTGAGTTTTGCAATAGCATGTAAAAAATGTACTTTGAACTATCACCTCAAATCCACAGCCCTAAATTCCTTTATCTTGCAACAGAATGGAGAATCTCTATACAGCTGCCTTTTCTTTGCTTATTTTTATACTCTTGGCTTTTGTTAGCATACTCAATTTAACTGCATTAGTTCTCACACTGAAGGCATTGTCAAAATGTTAATTTATAGTTAGATTTTATACTATTATTACATACTTGACATACACTTTTAAACTTAGAAATGCCAAGACATGAATCCAAATTGAAATCTGAGCAAAGGCAGTTTATGTATTTTGCTATGTCAGGTTTCCAGCCAAGTGGTACTGAGGTCAGCTGGATTCATCCTGAGACTTAAAAGATGGTGCATGGCAATGCCTGAACTTACAAGGAAAATTGCAAATACCTGTTCCAAATTAATGTAAATGGGTACCAAAAAATCTTGTCTTTCTCACTGAAATGAGATCCAGCGTGCTCAGACTTTGAAGCGAAGCGATTCAGCATTTATGCAGTAATGCTGAGCCCCAGCATGGGCTTATGTGCCAGTTCAATGGAATTTTTCTCTACCTACTGAGAGGCAACTGTCCTGCTCCCTTTGTAAAGCTGCCTGTGAGAGATTGGAGAAATGGGATGGACATGACTCAATACACAAAAGATATGATTCAACAGCAGCATCTTCCCATGTGGTATCCAAAGCGATGAAATTGACTCTGAAAGTAGTGCCAGTGTTCTCCTCTGTTGGCCCCTCTTCCATTTCTGGATTTCCAGAGGATGGTAAGCAAAAAGAGCCAAGTATTATCATTTGCTAATTTCTGTATGGCAGCATCTTTGCACAAACCACTGCACAGAAGCAACTTTTCTGGGAGAAAATGATCTTTGGAAGTTACTAAAATAATGTTTACTTGAGAAAAATAATTAGAAAAATAAGTGATTAAATAACTGCTTGTACAGTGAGCTGCGAGTACTCACTAGAGTTCAATTAAGGAAACACCTACAGTTCCTAAATTTTTCCAGTTGCTGAACTTAGTATTCAGGTCAGCTTTGAAGGGAAAAGGATCTCAGGAGAGCAAGAGAAATAAATTTGCACTGACTTTATCCTAAAAATGCCAGGTGCTATTCTTATATATAATATTTCTTTGCACTTCTTCCCCTAGTACAAGAACATATTTCTCCTTAATAGGAGTATATGCATATATAAGTGTTAGAAAGAATCCTCCACATAAGTAATGGTGTATGATAAGTCTTAATAATTTTAATGTTTTGCAATCATTCAGCTCATGATAGAATTTCTTCCCCAGAAGAAAGTGGATAAGACTTCACATGACTTTAAGCAAATTGGCTGAAATATAAACATGTGGCAATATCGTCACGAAGTGGAGCTTTGAGCTACTTTACCTTTTTGCCCACTGCAAACATTTATTCATTTTGATCCTATAAAAGGCTTTGCTTTCTGTGCTCCTTTGCCAAGTAACACCTTTTGTGGTCCCCTTTAGATTGTACTCAGGCTTATGTGTTTCTTCTCTCACACAACCCATTTGCCTACTCTGAAGTGGGTGCCGACTTACATGGGGTAAAATTCAGTGTGCCCAGAAAAGATTATATTCCACCTATCTCAGCTGACACATTTTTGAGAGCTACAAAACAGTGCATAACAAAAAAGATTTCTGTTCATTTTTAGAGGAGTTTTGAGGCTCAGGACAGAGGAAATTAAAAATCCTGGGACAGGCCCAATGTTTTCTCTTTCTTGATGTTGCATGAAGGGAAATCCTGATGTCTTTTTTTTTTTTCTGAGTGAGCAGTAAGGAGCAATTACCTAATTCTCAGTTTCTTATGGAAACTGTACAGGGACCACAGTATTCAAGGCCTTAAAACATATTTCCCTCCCAGCATCAATAAAAGTGAACAACTATAAATTTATTTTTTCACATCCTGAGTGCCATTTACAGCTATGACATTGACCCCTTCCTAGTTTTCCTCCTTTTGTAGAGTTGGTTGGTGTCGGGCCCAACACAGCTGTTTCACTTTGACATAAGTTCAGAAGTTCAAGAAGTTCAAAACAATAAATTTCAAACAAAAGAAAGATAAAACACTTGCAAATCCCAATTCTGTGCTTGAAGTCAGGGTATTAAGGGAGACTGGGCCAATCTCGGAAGAAACTTAGGGGAGCTTTATTTTTGGCAGGTAAGACTCACTAACTGAGCTTACAGAATGTGCCTTTTAAATCCCAGAACATATGAGTCACTCCTGTCTGGCTCATGGCAAAAGGCTAGGGAGGAATGGCTTCCGAAACACAAAAACCAAAATGAGAGAAAATAGCATATGGTGAGTGCATTGACTAGAGCAGAAACACGGAGATTATTACTCTAGATGCACACATAATTCTTTAACTGGCCTAAAGGACTTCTGCTCTCTTTTTCTTTCTTCAGCAGAAGACAGGAAGAGGGAAGGAAAAAACAATTTTCAGAAGCTTCTTGTATTTGTTGATGATTTACACAATTTGTTGAAGTACCACTTCACCTTGACAGTGTGTGACAGTAGCATTGCAGTCTCTTGAAGGCAAAGCAGTGTTAAAACATATTTCTTTTCCCCTAACTTTAAAGCAGATTAGTTCAGGTTTTTATCTTTTGATGTTTTCGTTGCTTGTTTCTTTTTCTGTCAAGTATTTCAAGCAGAGATGTGAACTCTAAACTGATGTTTTTAATGATTTGTGTCTTATACCTGCAGTTTTTCTAAAGACCTGTGATTCGTACATGCCAAATCAGCAGGTGAGATCCTATTGAGCATCCTAAGGTGGGTAATGCTAAAGTGTATGTTTTGCATTACATGTTATGCCGCAGAAACTGCAAAAGGCATATTTGACTTATAAGCAGGAGAATAATTTTATTGCCTCCTTCTGCTTTGTGAATATAACCTTTAATTTGTTTCAAGATTTGACATAGTCATGTATGGATTTTGATCTTTGAATCATTTACTGTGGTATAGTTATTCTGTGTGATTCTTGAGACTACCAAAGCTCTTCTGATAGCTAGCCTTTTTTTTTCTCAGACACAAAATGCATGTTAAACCCTCAGACAGATAGATAGAAAAGCACCTGTGCTATGGTAGTTTCAGTTTTAACTTTAAAGTTTTCTTTCCCTTTTTTCCCCACCTTTTTAGTATTTTATCTTTGATTCAGTACTTCTATATTATCTACTTTTTGAGAGTTTTGTTTCACTGAGGCTGAGATTTATTTAATGTATTTTTTCATGAATTATTGGTGAATTTGCTAGCTTTCCTCATTAAAAACAGAGAAGAAAAATGTTCAGTCTTCTAAAGGAGACTTTTGGAGGGATCAACACCCAGAACTAATCTTACACCCCTTACCAACTCTTTTATGATGAGGAAAGTTCTTTCAAGACTTAGTCTTGATGCTGGCCTGTGTTCAATGGGTATCAATAAAATTGTTTTGTTAAATCCCATTGTTCTGTTTTTCTGGTTTGAAGAGCAAAAATTCATGACATCTGCAGCACAGAATAAAAGAACTTCATGTATGAAGAGTATCCTTCTCTGCACTGTAGGACTCCTACCATCTGACAGCAGGGAGTGCTGCAGAGAACATCCAAAGAGAATCCAGGTTGAAATGTTGGGCAGTTGATAATTTCTTTCAGAACAACATGAGTTTCTTTCTCCATATGGGCTAGGGTAGTATATAGTCCATCCTTCTATAGTGCCTGTTCCCTTCCTTCCTGTTCCTTTATCCCACTTTTTCTCTAAAAACTTAGGACGTTTTCTGAAGAAATCCTAAGCCTGTATTTCCTGTAAATCATTTCAGTGCAGAAGATATGACAGATATTATATAAAAAAATTGAATAGGTTTTTGTCTATTTCCATTGGACTTTCTAAGTCAAAGTGAGTCCCAGTTACTAGAATCATTATGGACAATTTTATGTTTAAACAAAACAACCCAACCAAAAAAAAACCCCAAACAAAACAACGCCAAGGAAACACCAATGAAAATCAAACAAAACAAGATGAACAGAGAAAACCCACCAAAATGAAAACAACAAAAAACACTCCAAAAAAAGAAAGAAGGAAACATATCAACTGGTATCTAATATCTATTTAAAGAAAGTTTTCACAGAGCTGCAAAGGCATTCAGAACACTGCAGGCTCTGTCTCTTGCTCTGACTCCTGACTGTGTTTCTTTCTGATTCTGATCCTGTTGCACATCATTAACGTAAGGCACAGAGAAATGTTACAGTTTGCTCTGTTTAGGAGAGCTAACCAAAAGTGTGAGGCCAGTTTACACTACATAAAATGAAGCATTGGATCATCTGGGGATTGTTGCATGTGAGAAGTGATTGTTTCATGTGAGAATCATTCTCCTGGCTTTTAAAAATCTGCCCTCACTTGAAACTTAGACAGTGAAGGTGAGTTTGCTACTTCACATTGTGAACTGTAAGAAATCACCTGTGGTTTCCCCTAGAAAGTTGATGGACTCTAGAATTGCCTGTGCTCTGATGAAATAATGTTCTGTCTTTCATTAATGCCTACTGATGTTGCTCTGATTTTTTTCCTCAGGTCTGACAGTCCTATCAATCATAACAAAACTGCCTCAGGGGCTGAGTAAGGACTTGCAAGACATCTTGCCCGAGATCTAACTCTGCTATGTTAGTATTTGTATTTTTTTCCTACCTCTGTGATTTCTTTACTCTGGCATATTGAATTTTTTTTCACAAAAAGGTGAAATAGGTCTGTTATGTAAGACTTGTTGCTTCTCTGGTAACATAGCAAGAAAACTCAACTAATAAACCTAAAAGCTGTTTGATAATCTGATTCTGGCGGAAATCTTGTGACATTTGAAGGTCAGTAAAATTAAATTTCACACAAAAAGAAACAAAAAAATGCATTTTAATTTTTCTATTTATATACGGTTTTATTTTTATATTTATTTGCAGTTTATTTTTATTACTATAGTTTATATTATACCCAGTTTGAATGCTATATTTAGTTACAAGGCTTAGGCAAGGAACAAAGCCTTATGATGTCCCAAGAGGAAGGTATTTGGTAACAACTATTCTCATGTGAAAAAAGGAAATTTCCTTGACCCTTTGCTACAAAATGTGTCCTGAGTTTTACAGTAGATCAATGTCAGAAGTTCTAATTGATTTGAATATCGTTTAATATGCATTCAGAAAATATTGAAATGAGTCCATAACTCCTCAAAACCATGTGTTAATTACCTGATTTTAGGATGAAAATTTAGAAAAAGTTGATTTAAAAGTCTCTGAACTTGGAGTAGTTTATTTGTATCTTTGGGACCATGCTGCATTAGCAAAGTATTATGAAGATTATTCAACTAATGTTAAATGAGTTTAAGAAAAATTATAGGCTTAAAAGTATAGGAATAGAATAATGTAGTTACCCAATAATGTAAATATTTCTTCTAAAATCTTAATTCCTGAGTATATTTATTTTGCGAAGAGGAGGTAACTGGCCTAATAAAGTGCTAAAAATGTCACACATTTTGTGTTGTTGAATATATTTTGTATAGTGTGATGCTCTAGTTACTTTATTGCAGATGAGCATCTGTTACTATTTATTGGGCAAAGAACATACATTGTAGGCATTTCTGGCCCAGGGATTTTGGTACTTGCCAATTCAAATCCCAAGACGAATAATTTTAGTGTCAGTTATGTAGGACATATTCTGACACTACAGTTGGTAAATAGAACATAAAATGAACAGAAAAAATCCAAGCAGCCATCAAAACAAAACATAACCATAGCTGACTGCAGAGTGTGAATATAAGATGGCAAAGAAATTAATTGCTGTCATTGTCCCCTGAGCTCTTCCCTGTAGGACTGGATGGAAGTTCTGCAAGGTTTCCAGGTGCCACTCAGCCATGTGCTGATCACTGCTTTGACAGACCCCTAAACTGTTGGGATGGTATTAGTCTTAGGGGATATTTTCTTGTTCCTTTCCAACCTTGGCTGGAATTGGAAGTCAGGTGTTTAAATAAATAGATGCAACTCAATTGCTTTTTCCATCTCCTTGGGACAGATGATAATACATGGGCATTTTTTAAATCTAGGAAAACTGCTCATGTTTTTCTCTTCTAAAGAGGGACTTCAGTACGTGGTGGCCCTTACTTTGTATTTAATTACAGCTTATCTGGTTTTAAAACATCTTGGTTTTATATCTCAGTATCTATTTGGAAAAGTGCTTGAATCAGGAGTTGAAGTCTTATTCTACTTCTACTGCAACTTCCTACGATATGTCGTCAGAATGATGATGGCAAGGCAGGACCTCCCTGTTTGGCTCCTGAACCATGTCTGTGTGTGTGAACTGAATTCCACAGGAAGAAAAGGGAAGCAAGCACTTGTCCTCCCTCGAGGAGCACTCCAGCCATGAGGCTATCACAGAAAAAGACGTGTTACACTCCTACTCGCCACTCCTTCCTTCAGGTAACATTTCAAAAGTGATAACTGGAACAGCTGTCTGTGGCACATTGAATGTAACTGGACACTTTTTTGCTGGATTGAGCTCCCAAAAACTTTGGCAGTGGTATGTCTTGTTTCTGGATCCTACTGTGCTATTGGGATTTGGGATTCTCTGTCAGTGCAATTTAAGCTGATAGATCTGAAGAACAACAAAGCACTGATGGATTTTGCTTACTAGCAGTTGAAAGCAAAATGTTTTTCCAAGTAACCAATTTGTATTTGAATGTCTAAATTCCATCCCACTCCAAATGATTCATTATTGAATGAACAGCAGGAAAATTTGCAGGTATTTCACCCAGCTGCAGCACCATAAAAAGCCCCATAGCAGCAACAGCAGACACTTCGTTCTTAGAAGTCTGAGGAACACTAGAATAAGAATGCACGTTTAGGGGACCAGGCTGAAAATATGAGGTTTGGGTTTGATAAGGCTGAGAAAAATATTCATATTTTCCCAGAAATTAATTCAAGTCCATTTTACTCCAGTTGGTGCTTAAACATATTGCTCTGGCCCATATAGGTGGCAGAAAGCTGTGAAGAAAAAATCCCACTCAGCCCAGTTCGCCTCAATATTTCTGTAAAAAATTCTAATATGAAATTCAGACAGATTCATGAATTTAAATTAATTTTTAAAGACTTGTGTAATGAAACTTTTAAGGGGTTTCTGGTTTCAAATGAAAAAAATAAATAAAAAATATTCATGCAAAAGGTCAAGGGACGTCTGCCTCCACAGAAGCCCTAGAGAGATTGCAGAATAATGTCAAAACACTAAGGAAAGCTGATAAATTTTAGAAAAATAAAATTATTTTACAGGGTCATATCCAGGATGCAATGAATCAAGAATAAATAGAATATACTAACAGGGTATCGAATGGATAGACTCATACAGGAACAGTGAAGTCATACTGTACCTCATTTATCTTTCCTGACATGACAATTGACAAGCTTCAACCTCAGGACTGCATCAGAGTGAGAAAACCTCTTCCTGAGATGTTAATAATTTATCCATTCTTCTCTTTTTCCAAGCTATATTATCCTCCCATTCTGAATAATGACAAGTAATCAAAAGCATAAACTTTTGGCCTAAAGTAGACTCATGGTTTTGTGTTAATCTCAGAAGGTTTTCCCTAAGTACTAGTGTTGCTGTGGAAGAGGCAAGATGGGCTTCATGGTCAACTTGAAGAGTAGTATAACACTGACTCCCTTATAAAAGCACCAAATCATTATTATCTCTTCATGGCTCTTGGCATTTTGCTTCTTTGTACTTTCTACACAATGTTTTGGTCACCAGAATGATATACAGGGCAGCAATATGGTTCCTAAATATTCTTGATATCCCAATTCCAGTACAGTATCTTGATAACCAAAGATATATTACTTCAACCATTTCAGTTCATTCAGATCGGCAAAAAACACAGTTGGTATGTCAAAAGAATTAACATGTGCAATATCTAATCCTCACACGCAGCAATTGGTAAAGAAGAATGGTATGAATCAGCCTGGAATTATTTGGGCATCCAAAACCATTACAATATCTGCAGTCTGAACAACAATGGCCCAGCATTTTATACTGCAAAGTCAGATGACTTTTTGTTGCACAGTTCAATTGATTTGCCAGAGAACGACTTTCTCCAGCAGTATCATTTATCTGTGTGCTATACAAAATCAATGTGGGCAGCAATAAATAACTCCTGATTCCAATTACCATAATGAAGCTACTGGAAAACTCAGTGGGAGCTGTCAAACTGCTTTCAGCAGTACTTGCATGGAAAACTTGTGGAGCAGCAGCAGCAAGTGTGATCAGCAACACACTGACTTAAAAAGGTTTGATTCCAAACAGCCACTGCCAGCCTGTTTCCAAAGGGAAAAAAATGCAGTCAGTGTTAAGGTAAGCTTGTTACAACTATTGGAGAGATGCCTCTGCCCAAATTAAGGGCAAATGAGGCCACATACTGAAGTTAATAGTTTGGATTTTACTTAACAGTAAATGTGAGGGAGAGAGAAAGAAATAGAAAAAAGGAAATAGAAAACAGGGAGTGAGGAGGGAAAGTGACAGAAAGGCAAAGCACAACAACATTACCACTCCATGGATTCTGATGGAGTCAATTTAGTCCTCTTCTTCTGCTCTTCTCAATGGTGAGGGTCCCAGGAAACATAGAGTTCAATGCATTTGTATATGTTCAGGACAGGTGGGAACACCCAGATACCTCCCCTGTGGTGTGTGTGGGAAATATTAGTCTCTTGTAATAGACTCTGGATCTGTTGCTACACTTGGATCACATACAGCTGTCTGATGCAAGGCCTCAGGAATCAGTCTGAGTGGTGCTTTGGGACTCTGATGGTTTATGACACCTCCTCAGCTCACATAAGTGAGTCTCACATAAGTCTCTCACGTAGTTGTCCCACATGTAGGTGACCTTCACAGGGTGGGAGGAAGTTGTACAACTGAGATAGTTTGTGTAAGTGAAGATGGATGTTTACTCCCTCTGTCTTGAGTTGATCAGAGGTCATGGCATCACATCCTCAGAAACTCACTTTCTTCCCCCTCATCTGATGCGGACTGAGTGCAAATGCAGTCAAATGAGCAAATGAATCTCATTTGCCCTCAGCAAATATATCTTTGGATATCAAGCTTCTGTACTGTGGGCTTTGGTGGTCACAGCTTCTTTATAAAGTTTTGCCATAAAGGGCAAAGTCCTTCAGTAATCTTAAAAATGTTTAAGCCATAACCCATTTCAGTCTGTTATATGCAGCAAGAATATAAGTTTAGATCAGGTATTACGGAAAAATTCTTTACTGTCAGAATGCTGAGGTACAGGAACCTGTTGCTTAGAGAAGTTGTGGATCCCTGGAAGTGTTTAAAGCCAGGTTGGGTAGAGATCTGGGCAGTCTTGTCTAGTGCAAGGTGTCCTGGTCCATAGCAGGGACCTAAATGGCCCTTCTAAAGATACTTTTTTAGTGAAGTTCATCCTTTCAAATATGGGCATCTGGATGCTATTGGATCCAAAATAATAAGAAAAAGTATAACACTTAAAAAATTTACTCTTCTCTTTTATAGATATATATAGACAAAAACATTTAATTAGAGTGAACACTCCATATTTATTCTTCTCACAACTTTTCTGGTTTGGCAAGAACAATTAAAAGGACA